AGAATTTGATAATCTATGCTTATCTTAAATGGTTTGATAGGTTATGCTTATGAATTCTAGGATTATTATCATGTTGTTGTTCTTATCATGAATAGTAATTTTGACTTAGATGATAATTTGATAGGTTACACTTTCCTTAAATGGTTTGATAATCTATGCTTAATAAATCTAAGTTGAAATATGATAAAAAGAGAATAGTTTATATTTTGTAATTGAAATTGGTTAGTGGATTATATTCTAGATTTCTTACCTCTTTTGAATCCTCCATCTTGACTTTCTTAAATTTTCTTTTCATTCTTAGTTTTATTTCTTGATTTTATTAATTCATATTTCTTGCCTTGTGATTTCATTTATTCTTTAATTCTTCCTTCTCTCCTCTAAAATTCAATTTATTACCTCTTGCATATAAATCAAAACAACCACTCATACAATCACACTTATTCTTTATTCCTAATTGTCACGCACAAAATATAAGAACCAAGTTTAATAATCTCTTAAAATCACCTTCTTCGTGGGATCGATATCTTTTTATACTATAACTTGATAAATTGTGCACTTGCAATTTTGGTACATAATTATGCCGCATCAAGTTTTTGGCGCCGTTGCCGGGGAAGGTGCTAAAATAGGATTTTATTAACTTGATTCTTTAACTTGTGTATTTTTCTTGTGAAGGAACCGCTTGGAGCTTGAAAATCTTGGATTGAAGATCAAGAATTTGGAGCATTGCTTTCGGGTAAGTCTTCTTTCTAGTTTTCAATTCCACCCTCTTTAGCTAGCTTCACAATTAGAGACAATTAGGATTTAAAAAAAAAGATTTCATTTTTGTTGACCATAATAAAATCCATCTTTCACTTAGATATTAACTAACAAGATAATAAACTCAAACAATTTTCCCCTTCTCACTTTTGATTATTGTTGACCATAATTAAAAAATATAAAGATTTTCTTTTTACCATCCTTTTTAGTCGCTTTTAATTTCTAGGGTTGCATTTCATATAGTGTAGGAATTCACCAAAGTGATTGTAGCACTTGATTTGGCACACACTTAAATCATTCTTAAGGGCAAAACCCCAATCAAGATAAGGTAAGGGATTTCATCACCCTTTCCTTAGCCCACAAATCACTAATTCCTCACTTCACAAATCCAAGCCTTCTAAAACTCATTAGACGTTGGCCCCTAAGGATTCGAGCTCAATAAGGAACAAGAAATCCTTAAGTGAACGGTTTAAGTTTTCTCAGAATAGTTGGTGTCTAAGGCAAGGTTTAGGGGTTGCGTAAAGCGCTCCGCAAGGAAAGAGGTACTTAATTGATCTTTGATCACCCTCTAGTACTATCCTTACCTGGCTAACTACCTGGGTAAAACTTTGATCTTTTCACTGTAGGAATTTTTGGTTAGGAGCTGGTCTAGTGGAGTTAGGCTAAACCCTAGAGTTAGAGTTGATTGAAAAGTGATTGCCTTGATTTGTTTTAGTTAGGATTTTTCTTTTTCTTTATCTTCTCATATAAAAAAAACTAATTTTCTTTCCTTCCTTCCTTAAAAAAAAACTAATTTTCTTTCTTTCTTTCCTAAAAAAAAAAATTTGTTTTGGTGCATGCAATTTTGGGTTCGGGATAATTTTCATCGCTTAATCCGTGTTGAACCAATCCAAAAAATGGCAAATCAACCAGTTCTTCAGGATATGTGTTACCCCACCAGAAATGCAATTCCATCTTGCATAAGACTCCCCGAAGTAAATGGAGCAAATTTCGAGCTTAGACCGCATTTCATTAACATGCTTCCCAAATTCCTAGGTAATGAAACAGAAGATGCATATATATTTATCTCGGAATTTGAGGAAGTATGTATTATGATAAAAATGAGAGAATTAACCGAAGATGCGATTAAGCTTAGATTTATTCCATTTGCTCTAAAGGACAAAGCTAAAAAATGGCTGTACAGCTTACCGATAAATTCCATCTCAACTTGGGAGGAATTTGTCACCGTTTTTCTCAAGAAATTTTTCCCTATTCACAAAACGGTAAAGCTTAGGAACAGCATTCAGAATTTCAAAATTGTCCCGGGAGAGCCATTCTGGAAATACTTTGACCGATTTAAAGATCTTTTAATCCAATGTCCTCATCACGGTCTAGAAAAATGGCGATTGTGCCAAGTCATATATGAAGGATTGGACTATTCTTCAAAAACATCTTTAGAATCGATGTGTCAGGGAGATTTTATGAGAAAAAACGCCGATGAAGCTTGGGAATTCCTAGAGAGTCTATCCGAGAAAACAATGCAGTGGGAAAACTGTGATGACAGGGTTTCATCTGTTTCCCAATCTAAGTCTAGTGGTCTTTCCCTGGAGTCAAACATTGCATCTGAAGCGAAGATGGCGACGATTCTGCGGAGGTTAGAAGCCTTAGAAGTTAAGGAACGAGCTCCGGCTCAAATCAATCATATTTCTGCCCCGGGATGTCATAACTGTCAGTCTCCTACCCACGTTTCAGAGGAATGTCCTCTTCTAGGAAACAACCATGCTTTAGAACAGATGAACGCTGCATTCCAGCGCCCTAGAAATGATCCATTTTCTCCAACCTACAATCCAGGTTGGAGAAATCATCCCAATTTTGCTTGGAACCAAGGAAATTCTCATGGAAACCAAAACTTTATTCCCGCGTCAAACCAACAATTCCCTAGGGGAAACACTGTCCCATTCAACGCACCGAACAATTTTTCTAACCCACCTTTTCCAAACCAACATCCTCATCCTCACCAGCCTACAAATCAATCAAATTCCGATCATGACAAACGTTTGAGTGTCTTAGAAAAGGGTTTAGAAGCTATGATCAAAGCTTCTACACAAACTACCAACATGTTGACCCAATCATCCACCACTCTAAATTCATTCATGCAAACCACCGGCCAAGTGCTCAACTCGAACACACAAGCCATAGCCCGGTTAGAAACCCAACTTGGGCAACTAGCCGGTCTTTATTCCTAGAAAAGACACAATTTTTAATTTTCAATCCGGGCACTTTGTGCACGGGGAATTTTATCTCAACTCCTAAATAGAGATAAGTCTACGCCTAACACGCGTTGCCGGTTTAGTCTTTCACCGATTGAAAAAGACACCAAGGTCTAAACTTGGGGAATTTTATCCTGAAGCCTAAGTAGGGATGAGTCAACACCTAACACGTGTTGCCGGGTAGCCTATTCCCGTAACAAGGGTGAAGCCTATGTATTCAAAATCATAGCACAAAGTCTTAGAGAATTCACTCTCTTAGCACAACGTTACATGTGGAATGGATTTAGACAATCCGCATGCTAGCCCGACTCAAACGGTAGTCGGTAAAGGCTAATCAAACCCGTTAAAGGCTGGGGGTTAGCCAAAAATCCTAAAGTCAACACCTAACACGTGTCGCCGGGTAGCCTATTCCCGGAACAAATGGTAAAGCCTATGTATTCAACATCATAGCACAAAGTCTAAGGGAGTTCATTCCTTTAGCGCAACGTTTTAGTCTTTTCACAGGAGAAAGACGAAGTCTACGTATTCAATATCGTAGCACTAAGAGCGTTAACTCTCTTAGCACAACGTAGAAAAGCGATTTTCTTAGCACAACGTTACATGTGAGACGGGTTTTAATAATTCACATGCTAGCCCGATTCAAACGGTAATCGGTAAAGGCACATCAAACCCGTTGATGGCTGGGGGTTTGTCAAAAATCATGTAAAACTTATCATCATTGGGTTCAATAAAGAAATATCATAAAGGAATCAAATGCGGAGTCTCTATTAATAGATCAAGTCAAAGCATACAATAAAAAGCTCGTTAGCCCGAAGGCAGTTGGCGACTAAGAACATAAGACTCTAGATTAGAAAGCCTATCTACATAACTCTGCTCAAGTTCTGCCTGCAGCCCAGCTCGGACGGATTCTTTCAGAACTTCTCAAGATCTTCACGGCTTCATTCTTTAGCTTCATCAATCTCTCCTGTGTAGACCCTAGCTTCTCAAGT